AGCTCAGCGCAACGTTTCAGGTACTTACTCTGAAAGCATTTTCACACCTAGCTATGTACAAGGATATTTAACAGTTATGGCGTGCACTTTGATCTGCAAAATAAAATATATATATGCGTATCTCTAGTTTATAAAATTCGAATATGAAAAAGTTTCGCTTTGTGCAGAATGTAGTTACGATTTGATTATAAAAATAACGAAACCAGCTGAACCTTGATTTTGATTTCACATTTCAAAAATATTGCACACACACACACACTCGTTCACAACTACATATGCATGTTAAATATTAGCAAATAATCATTACATGTTTTCCCCCTCTCTCTCCTTTCCTCCAGCATTTAGCTGATACGTAAAACTTTATAAATTTTATTCCCTCTCATGCGGGAGCAATACACACACACCCATACACACTTTGTAATATTTTGAAAATTCAAAAACATACACACTGGTTGTTAGTGGTTTTGTCAAATGGAAAGTACAACTCTTTGTGTATATTTAAGARTTAAATGCGAGTGTCTGTGCAGTGAAGGTCTGCATCGAGTACGAGTGACAGAGAAATGCAAAGAAGACATTGCGACAAAAAAGCAGTGCCGACAATATCAATAGTGTCCAGCATTCTGTATGTTGCTGTCTCGTGGTGTACTGTTTTATAATTTTTGTTGTTGTATTTGCATTTTGCAAAGTTGACCCTCACCTGTTGTACGGTATCAATTTATAATCGCATACAACATTCATTTTTCGTTACAAAGTTTTAGTTTTTCGTGGTTTCCGTTACAATTTGAAACACTACTTTTTTGTGTTTTGGTTTTTGGTTAGTCGTAATTGTAGTGTAGTAAATTTGAACAGTGGTTTGGTTCATGTGTGCGTTGCTAATTCTTGCGTGCACACGTGCACACATACAAAATTGCAAAATAAATCGTTTAAGTTGTGGGAAGCACCTGCATATGTGYATGTATGTTGTTCACAGCAACAAAAATTAAAAGTATTGGGTGGTTGAAAAAGTCTTTTCGTATTTYGGTATTTTTTCACAAAATGGTCGGAGCAAATGATATGTATTTGTTTAGTTATTTATTATTAAAACTATAAAAAAATTGAATTTTGATTAGAAATACGAAAAGATTTTTTCGACAACCCAATATCAAAAATATTTTTCCTTACCCAATACTCGTGAAGAGGCACAAGCAGAAATTAAATATTTTAAATAAATTAAATATTATATCAATAAGTTTAAATGAATAAGATTCACGTATTTCTAACTAATGCAAAGCATAGTTGCAGCTGCATGTTCGCAAAGGCTCTTCGCTGCAACACCTTTTACTCCAACTTTTTTCGGTAGAGTATATTTTATATGCACTTCCCCGCACAAAACTTTTTCCATCAGTTGATATCAACAACAAAAGCACATGTATGTATGTTCTCAAGCCATGATAGCTGGCATTAAAAAGTCTCAAACCTCGCTCAACGTTAGACACACGTACATGTGTACAGAGTCCACCGCTGTCACGCGCATACTTCAGCAGTTCCGGCTGCCCAACCATGAACGTACTCTCGACGCGTCTTTGCTGCGGTCGGCAAACCGCAATGGGTGGTCAAAACTTCGACGTGGCAATCAACTCTTAATTTCTGATCAAAGCCAGAGTGGGATAAGAAATAGGACGTTTCCATAAATTCATATATAATTACGTGTATGCATGCAGCTGAGCGCGTGCATGAGTGTGTCTGCGTGCTCGTTGTTATGGAGGGGGGGAAACTCTATATTCCCGCAGCAAAACGTTTGCGCATAGAAATTTTTAAGTGGAACATTTATTGCGCACTTCCAATGTTGCAGAGCTCCACAGCTTCAGTGAAGCGTTGCATGGCTGCTTTCACTTTTCGCCCCGCTGTCTTCAGCGCTGCCGACATTTTCATGCGAATTTAAAACAAATTTACACTTTTATGCTGTTGCCACCGCTGTCACCGTTGGCAAATATCTTAAGTGCGGAAAAGTAAAACTATGCTGTACCGTTACCTTTCTACGTGTATGTCTGCTGCAACGACCAGCAGGTGTGGCACTTGAGGTGTTTCGTTCACTATTAAACACATTTCATAAAAAATACAAAAAAATAAAAGTGTATGCAAAAAATCACACACCCACAATGCCAAGTTGGTCGTTTTAATACTTTTCGTGGTAAAMATTTTTATCCATTCACTTTGCCAGCATTCACCTACAGCACCTCACCTCATTCGTACTTTTTATTTATTTTTGCAGATTTCATTGCTGGACTCAAGGATGTTTCAGTTACAATACCACAAGCGGTGAAACGTGGTAGCAATGCACTTCTCATATGCAATTACGATATGGAAAATGATACTTTATACTCCATAAAATGGTATAAGGGGCGGCGAGAGTTTTATCGCTATACACCAAAGGAAAATCCGGCAATGAAAGTTTTCCCCATGGTCGCCGGACTAAATGTTGAGGTATGTACAAGTGAATATACACAACAATAAATAATTCTGTGAATATCATAATGATGTACTCGTACGCGCCTACATATGTAGATACATATGTATGTGGCAGGACAGTGTCAATGGAAGTTGCGCAAAAAATTTGCTTCATTTGTGTATTGTATGTATATAGTACATGTATGTATGTGCACATAAAGATTTTTCTCAAAATTTTTTTTTTTTATAAATGGTAGAGAAAAATCGAAATATTTAATTCTCGTTCAAAAAATAGCACATTTTTATTTATTTAGGGATGTACGTTAGGGTGCTCCAAGATGTTTTTTTTTTTTTTACATTCTGGATAAATCTTTGCTTGTGCACCTCTTCAACAGTAATGAAATTCTTGCAACATCTTGAGCACTTTTTCAGCGGTACGACCGCCCTCCTCACTTAAAACTTCTTGTAATCTGATACCCTTTGCTTAAATTTTCATCATCTAATACGGATTGAGCAGCAGTTTCATTGCCTAAATACTGTAGAGGTTGACTGAATTGCTGTATTTATTTTTTATCAGTTTGAATTGACTTCGAARAGCATAAATCCAGATAAGTTTGTTTTACATTTAAAACACATTGGAGCCAGAACGTAAAATATCACGATTAACAAGCAAATATGTATTAAACAGTGTGCCCTTATCCTTCTTCAACTTTTCAGTTAAACGCTAAACAGTGCTATTGCAATACACAAATTACCCTTTCCGTCTATGTGGCTTGATGCAGGATACCTGGAGGTCGGCCTTTAAATTTTCGATTTTTATTGCCACTTAAAAATATCACTGAGAGTTCAATAACGGAACTAGTTATCCATCGTTCCAGGCGACTTTTTCCTGTTCTCTTTCTGATGAGTTTTCTTATCTTGGCAAAGTTATCAATTGCTCTTTATTCTCATATAAAATAACTACCAGATGAACTGTTTCTTTTGATTTGGGAGGTCATTAAAGTGAAAGTTACACACTCTCTCCTCCTATTTTGAAAATCAATTTTAATGGACCCCGCACGATTTTGCGATTTTCGGTGCGAATTCTTCAAAGAGATATACGGTATCTCTCATAATTTAGATATACATACCTGTCCACTGTCGCTACTAATTTTGGATGAAGTCTTTCCACATAGATTTTGTTTTTGTTGCAAGTACACGACTTGAGTTGACCAATCTTCTTTCAACGATATAATGTCTGAGTTTTATTTGTCATGTTCGCCCAACAAAAATTATGTGTTAATTATGTGTTGCAAAAAAAAAAAACACAAAATATAACATGCTTATCGCGAGTTTGGCGTGTCGACTGTAGTAAGCAAGAATTGACAATTTTCGATGTAATTCCGCATGACTTATCGTAATCCTAACGTAGTTTTCAATTGACTCATCATGTTTCAAACAAATTAAGAGTGTGCGTGTCCAAAAACAGTTATCCCTCATGTTCGATGCATATATTATATATCCAGTATCCATATTCATTATTCCCCATTTTTTTTTTTTTCTTTGTTTGCTGATGCCAACTACAGTATCAGTTTTGCGCTAAAACACACTATTCAACGTAAATAAGCTCTTTTTTCAATTTTAACAGTGTACAATTATTTTTTTGCATTTTCCCATTCCTCTTTGTATTTTACATGCAATGTTTTGACCTTTTCTATTAAATTTTTTACCTCCAAAACTTTGAAAATAGAATATTCTAACGCAAAATTTGGCGCTTTACAGAAAATGTCTTAAACATTTTTTTTTTTATAAAAATATCCCTTCAAAAGTTATACGCTGTTAAATCTATCCATATAATTTACTGAGAATTCATACAGTGAGTATGTACCGCATACCATGACACAAAATTTTGTATTAGAATACCATTTTTTCAAAGTGATATGYAAAATATCAGAAAAATCGCTTGTTATAAATGGAAAACGAATCATAATTTAGACGTAATTTAAGCTGATATGTTGATCACTTTTTAGGTACCAAACTGACTCCKCTGCACTCTGCAACAAATATAAACTTGGGAAACAAGAGGCATCCTAATGTACATATATATAGTATACTATATAGAGAGAGTTGGACATTATTTTATTTGCAATAAAACATGAATTATTTTAAAATCGAACTGATAACACAAACGATGTCAATAAACTAAAAATAATTGAAAATTGCGAAATTGCGATAATAGTTGCTGTGCATTTCAAATTCTGTTTGCGTGAGCTTAAATTKTATAATTTAATAAAGCAGAAAAGCAAAAAAGCACGATTACTTCAAAACCAATTTATTGTAACGACTTAGACATTTTCAATTACTGCAGCAGAGAAATCATTTGACATTGCTCTAATCGAATCAAAATTTAATTTATCAGCTTATAAAGAAAAATAAATGATTTTCCATTCTTTGTTTATATGTAGTATATATATATTTTAGTTTTTACTTATTTATCAAAAGCTTGTTTAAATGCTTAAAGGAGCAATAGCAGTAGCACTTGTAATTATAGTTTACTACAATAAAGTATAGTCACGTAATATCACCTACTCACGGTTGGTTGCATGCGTGATGATTAACTAATGAGTTCAATTACCTCATTACGAATGCTTATTTTCATACCTGTGACTTATACTTACTATATGTACATATATATACTTAATTGTTGTAGATGACTGTCTACCGGCTTAAGTTGTAAATGTGCCCTTGAATGCATTTGGATACACGTCGATACATTTGCGTCACACAATCGATTTGCCACGTACGCATATTTCGCCTCATTAAGTTCGGGATTCATTGYAATAATAGCGATTGTACTTACTGTCGCACACACAACTATACGCGATGATTGTCATGTACATATAGTATATGGATGTGTAAATATTATTCCAASAAGAATACAAGTGACGCGACGCGAAATTATTCAAATTTAGTTCTGAAAGTTATGCAAGTATAAAAATTCATATATTGTTGTAGAGATTCGAATATCGAGCGTTTTATCTACATAAAATGGGAAAGACGAATTTTTCGCAAATTTTTTAACTTTATCATATTTGTTTAATACTAAAATTTGCAAATTTTCATGTATTTTTGCTAAAGTAGTTTCTAGAAAAACGCGTTTTAAGTTTCGATCCAAGTTTAAACCAGTCCAATTGTCGCGACACTAAAATACAACCATTTTGCCACTGCGGAGATATTTTGAATATCTCAGCTGGAGAATTTAGAATTTTTTTGATTTTTAAATTTTCTAAAAAAAATTTTGATTCTTCAAAACTTTAGCCTAAAATATCCCCTTAGGGGATTATTTGAAATTTGAGTTAAAAAATCATTTTTTCAGATTTTCAATGCAATCACAATAAAAGTGTAGGAGATGGAACCTTTGGGGGCACGGCTCCTCAGGYTAGACTACTTCAATCTTTGATCGTGTTTTTCTCGAAACATCGTTTTCAAAGTTGGTGGTCACAATTTTTCAGAAACCTAGTGAAAGAAAGTTTTAAAAATCTTTTCACCGTTCTTCTAAATGGGATGATATCGTGATTGATCGAAGGTTTTTTTTTTCGATTACAACTAGTTTTTTAAAGGCAATTTGTTCTAGAAAGAGCTAGAATCATATTGGTTTGTTTCCAAATCCCTAATCCTAAATTCCTAAATCCCTAATAATCTTTGAAACGAGATATTTTTTTGATGAGATTTAAATTTGTCTTACCATATAGACCTAAGGACCTTTATTATGTTTCTTTCAGCACTTTTTTTTTATAATTTATAGATATACTATGTGAAGTCATAAAGCTGGACGATTTCGATGTWAATTTGATAGTTTTCGTCAAAACATGAAGAACTCTTTTCTGAATTTTTTTGTTTGATTATAAAAATTAAATGTATTTGGCAAATTCGTAATTTTTTTAAAATTCCCAAAAATGTGTATAAAATTATTGAATAAAAAAGAAATGACTGTATTGCATATATAWGTATATAGGAATATAATGAATATATATTTCTACATATGTTGGCACATAAAAGTTGTCCGAATTTGTCCTTTGTTGTGAATTTYAAGCTTTTTCAATGCCCTGTATTGATATTAATTATATCATTTGTGGAAAGAATTACTTTAACTATAATATACACACATTGTTTTCGCATAAAGCATAATTGAAGCTATTTTCTGCATACAGTCATTTATTTGTTTGTAATATTTCGTTGTTGTATTTTGTTCGTTTCAACAAAAGTAATGTTAAATGTTGCAGAAATCAAAAAGAATATTAAAACTATAAAAGYAATGAGGCATTAATAAGAGAATGAAAATTGAGTAAATAAATGCAGATACATAGTCAGAGTAACGCCATGCAAATGGAGATAAGTTTTACTGCCTTTACAGCAAAATTATTGAAATTACTTTTATGAATTTCATATACTGCGCAGCAAACAAAATTTTAGCTGCAGAAGCTTCCCCGGGAAGCTAAGCTGTACAGAGTTAATCAAAGCAATGTTCTTTTGACTGTTGATTTAGTATCTTAATTAAGGGTGAACGCTTTAAAAAATRTTACGGAAGCACATATACAGCTGTTTTAAGAAAATAGTAGGGCTGGTGGGTACTATCTATTAAACAAACCAAAAAAAAATATTTTTTTTAAAAACAAACTTTGAATTTAATGCCTCTAAATGGCAACTTTTATCTATTTCTAGGTATATACAGAGATTTATTTTTTCATATGACCATATGTATTTTTTTTCTAACAAAAATTATTTAAAATATGTGAATAATTAACATTAATCTGTTCAAAAAAATCCAAAAACCACTGACGTTCGCTTTCATCAGTACACATCACATACCATCATTTTGTAAATGGCAAATTGAAATTTTCTTGTGTGATCTTTATTCCTGCAGCACTTGTTGCCTCGTCAAAAGAGTACTTTCCGTGGCTACTTTATTTTCAAATTGTTTTCCAATAGTCTCCTATAACTTGTAAGAGTAGCAACCAGCAAAATTAAATAATTTTTCTCAAATGATGCTTAGGGCGTATTCTTTACATACATACCTCCTTCTACTCACTAGTAAGGAAAGAGCACTGGGAATTCAAACAAGTAAATCTCTTAAATATACCTACTTATGGCAGCTATATAATCATGTTTTCGTTTATAGACCACTAAACAGCTTGTTTTTTTTAATGCAAAAATGCTTCACAGAGAGGACAGAKGAAGCGAGATTTTTTCGTTTCTATAATTTCAAATGTTGCAATGGTGACTCTTGGAGTACATGTGAATTGCTGTCTGACCAATAAAGATTATTTTGCTTATTGATGAAGTCGGTCAGCCAGCCCTGAAAATGWTTTTTCGATGAAAGTCCGGATCATTTTCAACGCTTGAGAACGACGTGTGAGGGACTGGTTTGGGTCTTTYTCMAYTGATRCGCTAGCGAAAGATTTYGYACTATGYCTGKGGATTCAAATTTTTCCACTAGACGTTTAATTGTTGATCTGACAGGACGATTKTGGCGACCATAAGTTAGACGTAGCTCGTTGTTKKATCATATATCTTTTSATTAAATGGCAAACCTTRCTGAATAGAAATGCCAAAAGAGCAAGAAAAAATATGGCGTCCTTTACTGTCCCTAGTGGTCTCGTTTTGTATCGTTCCTATTGTTAAAACCCTGTTGCATACATATATACATATATACATATGTAGATATTAGTACACTTATATAAAAGTACGAAAATATGTGTANATAGAAATGCCAAAAGAGCAAGAAAAAATATGGCGTCCTTTACTGTCCCTAGTGGTCTCGTTTTGTATCGTTCCTATTGTTAAAACCCTGTTGCATACATATATACATATATACATATGTAGATATTAGTACACTTATATAAAAGTACGAAAATATGTGTACGCTCCTTTAACCATAAGTTAATTCATTTCAATAATTAATTTTCCAAAGCTAAATCAAATTAGTTGTTGTTCAGTAAAAAAGAGCGAACATTCATAAATTGTTTCGTATTCCCAAAAGGTGTTATTAGCTTCCGCTATTTATTTCCTTTCAAAGCACAGCAAAAGCTAGTTAATTAAATTTTACAACATTCGCTACACAAACCTTAATAAACATACAGTGTACAAACATGTAAGCATGTATGTATGTATACGCTGAAAATTTATCTAAAGCAATTACTTGCATACATACGTACATACAGGGACGTTATATAGGAAAAGTAAATTACTGCGCAACATTTGCCATAATAAAAAATTCAAATCGCTTTTAGCGAAATTTCCGCCATGCGAATTTTTTCACATATTTTTTGGAAAACATTCAATTATAATTAATTTCATAAATGTTTTTCTCCACTCTTTTACTTCTACATGCATTTATTACGGCAATGCAACAGCGTAATCTCTCCAATCAAAGTCATGTCGTGCTGCTGGCGGTGCCGCTCAACATATCCGGCAAGTTTACATGYGAGATTTCCGTGGAGGCGCCAACCTTTCAGACCGCCATGGTCTCCTCTGAACTGGAAGTTGTGGGTGAGTAAAGTACACATATACACAAACACATACTAATGCTATTTAGCGCCAATGAGTGAAACTATGCTTATGCGCGCGCAAAAAAATATTAAATCGGCTTAAATGTTTGAAATTGCGAAAAGGCGCTAATTTAAATGCTTGCTTTTTCACCCAAGTGCCAGTAAAGCAAATTAATTAGAAACTTCACGTATATTTAGCACGTTTTTTGCGCCCACTCAGTGGTGGCAAATTCCGTGTTGAACACTTCTAATTGATGACTTTTCAATTCAATRGCTGAAAACTAGCGAACATTTTGATAAAATCGACTTTTTTCCTCATTCGCCGAGTTCACAATTTTTTTACTAAATTAAGAACCATTTTTTCTTTCTTTATGTGCGCTGTTTCCGTGCTGCGTCGTCTCTGCGTCACAGAATTACCGGAGGAGCAGGCTATTGTTACGGGCATCCAGCCACGTTATCGTATCGGCGATTTGGTTGATGGCAATTGCTCAATTAAGTACTCGAAGCCGGCTGCTAATTTGACATGGACTATTAATGGTGGTCCGGTAAGTTGCGGGGCTTATTATGGTGTCCCAACAATGCCCACTTATATTGCTTTAAATTCTTTACTGGCCGTCATGGGCTCTTAATTTTTTATGTTTCCCTTTTGGCTTGGCTTTCCTTTATTTATACTTTCGGTTGCTTACGAATTCAATTTTCAATTGCTATGCATTAGTGCAAAGTGGTTTCATTCGCTTCCAGTGAGCTTGGGCGKTCCGACATGCATAGCAAACAGCAAAGGGGTGGTAATTTAAAAATTGATGGTTTTGGCACATAAAAGTTGCCAAAAATAAAATCCTAATGAAATGTAAAATCAAAAATTCGACTGAAGTATTCAGTTCGCCAACTTCTATCGATACGGAGTTCCTCGCCAATTAGACTCACTCATTAGCGCTTATTAGCCGAGAATGCGACGGGAAAAATTAAAATGAGAAAGAAGTTRGGTTAGGTTAGTTCAAGTTATGAAGTCGATCCTAARAKKGATCTCGCTTGGACATCTTAGAATGCCGGCCCTTTGTGTTGCGTAAAAATTAGAACGCCAGTCAATACAACCTTTATAGAATAGATCATAATACCCTTGTAATTCTACAAGGCGCCCTGAAAACATCAGCGATTCTTTGGTGTAACAAAATGAAATCGAACCATTTCTGAATTGAATGTTAACAAGAGAAGAGATGTGGATCAAATACGAAAATAATGTCCGAAAACGATCATGGTCCATACGTGGTGAAGCTCAGCAAATGGTCGCAAAGCCAGGATTGATGCCTCGAAAGGTTAATCTGAGTTTTTTTGTGGGTGTGAAAAGAATCATCCACTATGAAGTGATCCAGCGTGGTCGAACGATTAATTCTACATTTTACTGTCAACATTGAGATTGAGGAAAGCAATCGAAAAAACGGTCAGATCTGATCAACAGAAAAGGTTTCAGGACAACGCTAGACCACACAAATCTTTGATGACTCGGCAAAAACTGTGAGATCTTATCTGAGATGCATCTATAATATATAACCCTGACCTTGCACCATCGGACTACCATTTGTTGCGTCCAATGCAATGGTAAAACAATGGTTGCTCCATTGACTTTAAGAGAAACCTCTGAAAAATACTTATTGCAGAAAAATTGTACACTGATGTCATAATGCCTCTAGCGGGAAAATGATGCGAAATACGAAAAGACTTTTTTGAGTACCCAATATGTTCAGACGGCTAATGTCAATTTCCGCAGTAGTCCTGGTTCGCCGAACATCAGATTACCGTGGTGTTTTCATCTCAGTGTTGCAAAAGATTTAGAATGGAGGAAAAAGTGTCTGAATGTTCCCACCTCACCTTCCTCCATACACCTTTGACAACTTATGTACGTCAAGATTTAAAGTCTTATGGCATGAACGTCTACTGGAAAATGATCTACGATTGCGTCAAGATGAAATCTTCTAAGGGCAAGTGGTTCACGAGATTTGCTGGGTTCAATTCTGGGCCAGAAGGGTCTCGCAATAGCAAAATAGTGATCAAAAAGGTTTGCTGAGCGCGCGTGAAGCCCATTGATCTAGTTCTAGAAAGCAAGATGCTAATGAAGATCCAACTTGGTCWCATTCCAATGTTAGTGAGGCAAGAGTGTCCTCTCCGGCTAGCAATAGCACACACTAAACTCAGATTGCTATACAGTTAAGTTTGGTGTTAAAAAATRTATATATAGGTATATAAATAAATATATAACTCGAAAAGCATATCATTGTTGGATAAATTGTAAAGCGAATATCAAATACCTTATTCTCATACAAAAAATCTCGAATGCCTTGTCTGAGGCCAACAATAACCAAATCATTGCCATTAGACACTGACCCAACAAAATATGCAAGCGAAAATGTTCAGTTCCTCATTCTAAGCGATTGTTTCACACGCCACACAGTCGCTGCGCATTTTTCTAGACTAAATTCCATAAAGAAAAAGTCGTAAGCAAAAACACAGCCTGCGCACCCCACCGTCATCAAAGCATAGGCGCAAAAACGTACACGCGTGGGAAAATCCGAAAATATGACTAAGCACCGCAACGCCAAAATGAAAAATCGCACTAAATGTTTTGTTGGCATGTTGAAGGTGAAAAAAGCACGCAAAATAAAAGCTGTGCACAATTTGGTKGGTCGAAGCGGCGCAAAAAAATTGCTCAAAAACCACACTGGCCGCACAAGTGTATATGTATGCAAACACCTGCATGAGAGGCAACACACTGGCAGCAGGCCTCTAAGAGTGTTGAAGGGCAGGTGGCTATGTGCGCAGGAAAACAGACGAGCAGATGCCCGCAGAACGAACAATTTCATTTATTACCGACGTTTAAGCTTGAGCTGGATAGAGAAGTGTGCTATCGATGGTGGTGGACGATGAATATTCATGTTTTTTGCGCACTCTTTTTCTTGCGCTCTTAAGTCTGTCGGCATACGCGTACCTCCATGTTGTCGGCCGTATTTTGTATGTATACAACGCACAACACTCGCATCGTTCTAAATTTTTCGATATATGTATGATTGGTTGATTCTTTTTCTTGTTTTCTAGCGGTTATTTAAAACGCATTCTATTTACATTTTCGTTACTTTGATCAGCGGCAAACAAGAAAATTGCGGGTTTAAATAGTGAACAATAGAAACTTAAGCGTCGACCAAATCCTTCTAAACCTGTTCTTTACAACGATCTCTACTTCCACCGGCGGTTACTGAAGCAAATATTTTCAAAGAAGGAGTGTTCTCATCCATCCGGACAATCTGACCTAGCCAGCGCAGCCGCTGTCTCTTGATTTGCTATGTCAATATTGCTGTATCTGTCGTACAGCTCATCACTCTATCGACTGTCTTGTTCGCCCTTGCCAATGCGTAAAGGGCTATGAATCTTCTTCAAAATCGTTCTCCCAAACACCCCTAACGTCGACTAAACAAATATTGGCACTGTTCATGCCTCTGCACCATATAGCAGRACGGAAATGATGAGGGWCTTGRGGGCTCTTATAGAGAGCTCTACTTCTCATATTATTTTCACCTGTAAAACACGATAGGGAGTCTGATTGCCTAAAACCTTGATTAGTATCAAACGGTTCGGACAGATCGTTCCCTATCCCAGCAGAGCTTTTAGTATATATACAAATCCATCTACTTCAACCCTTTTCGGGAAGTTGCGCATTGGAGGTTGAATTTTGCAACTATTCTGCCAAAGATATTTCATTTCCCACCCTGCCGTTAAAAACGCCAAGCATAATTTTGGCGTTGTGCCGAGAGAAGCTCTCTTAAGGACGCTCCAGACATTCGTAGAAAGGATATTTGGTCTTTCTATTGAAAAGTTTGCTTCAGCTATCATAAAATGTCGATTTGTTTCAAGTCACTCACTCTTATATCGGCATAAAATTAAATTAAATAATTAAATGCCGACTTTRTGCAGTGAAAATATTAACTAGTCGAAAAAGTTTTTTCGTATTTTCTCAATAGATGTCGTTGCAGTCTACAGTGCTAACAATCACATTGTTTCATACCATATAGTCTTGGAAAGGTGATATTTTAAGCTTCATATAACAAAAGAAAAAAAAAAAATATTACGAAAAGACTTCTTCGACTACTTAATATTTAGAATGTTCCCACCATTTTTTAATTAATGCGCATTTCACAATTCATTTGAATAGCGACTTTTAGTTATAAAATTCCTTTTAGTCGGCTTCAAGCGTTTTTCACACTTTGTTTCGCTTTTACGAGCATTTGATGGTAATGCTTTTCAGAGGCACACAACACCTGCGAGCACTTTGCTGTCACTCACTCTTCACTTTTGCATATCAAACAACTTGCAACGGATATGAGCATTTTTTCAACGTGCCTGTRCGGGCCTTCAGAGATTTTCTTTCATTTATTTTATCAATATGTACAAGTATTTACATACAACKCGTATTGTTGTTTTTGTTGTCAGTGTGGGTCCGTTTTTCATTTTGATTTTGTGAGAGAAAAGGAACAAAACGGAAAAGTGTTGATATTTTTTATCGCTTACAGTTGATTGTTGACGTTGATGAAAACTTTTGACTGTTGGCAGTTGCCGTTGACACTGATTGTTGACACATCACGCACTCACCGTTCGTAATATTGTGTAATAAACGTAGTTGCTGGTGGAGCGCAATATATGATAAAAAATGAATGGAAAAATCAAGCAATAAAGTCACAAAACAATTGGTAATTGTCGCGCTCCTACACACACACACACACACACACATGCATAACTCGACATGCATGGCCTTATGGATGCGCGCACAAACACGCTTTCGACAGAGCAAATACAAATACGAAAAATAGGCCATGTTTATAATGCGATTCTTTGTTTTTGAAATATTCCCAGCACTCGAACTCGCTTTGTTGGCACTAAAATGCGCTCAAATATTTGCCACACACATGTCATCAACAACTGTCAACTGGCAATAATGCCAACAGTAACGCACACATGCACAACTGTACACATACACGCACACAAATACATACAAGGATGTGTAGAAAGTGTGCTGAAAAAATATTTACAGTTACAGCGTTGGGAAAAATTGTCACATAAAAATCATAAACAGACTTTTAGTCATCGGCAGCAACAGCAAGAGCACAGCAACAGAATGAACAACATCATTATTATCTGCATTGCAATCACAATCACATGACACATTGCGCTCGACATGCCTTCACAAAAACATAAACAAAATCATAGCGATCACTCAATCGCCAAGTCTCTGTGGCGGCGGCGTCGAATGTCAAATWTGATTTGATGCGCCTCAAGGTATGCTCGCTTGTCTACCCAACTCTGTTCGATCTGCAATTGCTATGTGCTTTTGACTTTTAGGTGTTGAGCCGCTTGACATTTATCTGTATTGTGGGTGCTTTTAATGTTCGCGCCTGCAGAAACAACGACGGTTTGTGACTGTTAATCGTGTGGGGTTGTCAAAGTTGACACAMCAGCAAATAATGCGGAGAGTGTGCTAATTGGAAAACGTGGCTTAGGTATTGCAGCTTTAAGATAGTCACTCGAATGTATTATACATCGAGACATACTACTACATACATACAATGCATACTTACATTTACCCATACATAAATGATGGAATAACAATGCTAATACAGCGCGCTTTTGGTCTTGTGGCAWGCTTTAAAACCTGTAACCGATGCCTCTAGCGCTCTGCACCCTTTGGCATACGCCGTTCTGCCTGACACGCACACCATTACCACCGAGCCAGCGCTATTGCGGCTATTGAGGTGCGAAAACTAAAATATTCCGCATTCATAGCTGATGTCTCTGTAACCATGTCGGCTGTGCCATAGCGCTAACGCTTTGCTGGCGCTGTCGCTCTGCCGTTGCGGTCTTCAGTCCCTCCGCTCAACTGCCGCCGCAGGTCTGCAGGCCAGCACTGTAGTTGCTGTGTTTATTTGTACGCTTGCTTATGTATGTAAATTTGAGTGTTTGCTAGCTTAAAGCAATTTTTCATGCAGCTTTTTGACGTTGTTTTGCTGTTTTGTGGCAGTCGGGTGCGTGTCGAGTGCACTTTGTGGTGGCGCAATTGCCCTACGGAGGTGTACTGTCGTCGTTGTTATTGTCGTTGTTGTTACTGTAAACCGAAATTCTGCGGTTACCAAAATTGTCACACTTTATGGAATTTTTCAACTATTATTTATGTTTTTGTTTTGCTGAAGTTACGCCACTGTCTGACGCTTACAGAACGCTCGCAGCACAAACGACTGCGTCTGTACATTTGTATGTGTAACTCGTCATGAGATCTATCAGGCTGCTGTGTGGTGTCGAGTCGCTATTTTCATCGTTTGTTTGTTTTTCTGGAGGACGGAAGAATTTTCATTGCATTCTTCTCGGAGCCAAAAAGCAATCAACCGCAAGAATATTGTTGTCGCACATCCACATTCTGACAGCTCGTAAATAATTGGCGAGCGCATGTTGAATTTATTTATTCCTTCATAAGTTATTGTAGCAAACGGAATTGAATACTTATGGTCCAATATAAGCAATACTTAAGAACTCAATAAAATACCATTCGACAACAACAAGCGATTTTAAAAATAYAATATCTAATAAAATATCTTACTGAGTTTTGCGAAATATTTTAACAATATTCTTCAGCTGCCAGCCAACGTAGTTACATASCTACATATATGTGTGTGGAAGTATAGAATGCAGGGAGCGGACTGTGTACGCCATTACAACCACACTTAGATGGCCGGTGACGTCGACAGCGCAACCATGGTTATAATTCACCGGCGAGATGACATTGTGGCTTTCATCTGTCAGTGGAACGAAACAAACAACCGCAGCCGAGCTCGAGCTCTCCAGCGCGCACCAAAAAGTTTAGGCTGCCATGGCAGTGGCGACKCGCATTTAGTTTAGTGTGGGTGGGCGTTGTAGCACATTTTCGTGCCGCCGCAAAAGGAAATTGCTACTTAAATTAGTGAATTGTTTGCAATTCGTACATTTTACTGAGCTATTAAGGACAAAGCGGTACAAAACGCGTACGAATGTTGGAATGTTGTATTTACTAGCTCATGATTGAATGTGAAATGCTTTTGTTTTTGTAGGCGTACAAGTTGCATATGCTTCGTGGCATGAGATTTGGGATTGCGGTTTTTATATTGGTGACATATGTAATGTGGCTTCTGCACTTTGTCGGACACACGCATACGTACATACGAGCGCGTAGTTTAACCGTTATGAACCCTTTCACCCCATAATATATGGCAGTTGCCTATTTGAAACGTTGAAACTGCGAAACTGTCGCAATGTTTGGCTCATGAAAAGTTCTTAATTAAAATTTAAAACTCAAACAAAGCTACTTTGCATTTGAAATGAAACTCGAAATGGCATAATTGCTATGCTCAACCAAACAAACGGTTCGCCTGGGTGTGCAAGCCATTTTAAAAATGAGCTTGCTGGTAAATATTTTTCACCAAATTTCAGAGTTACTAAATATTTAACAGACTGGCCTATTTTGTATAAACTGAAGTGGGAAGAAAAAAATATGTATTTATTATCTTTATATGTAAAACTTACGTGTCACGTGATTTGTTCGAGATGGACTCCTAAACTACTGAATCGATTTCAGCAGTCCAGTTCGGACCAACTTGAAAGATACGATAGTAAAAACAAATCATAAATAAAAACTACAGTCAAAGATGTGTTAAATGGACGCTCTATTAARCGAACATCTCCATTAAAATATAAAAATATGTTTGCCATTATTCSTAAATAACATTTTCTCTGTACTGAATAGTTTATTATATGAATAATAGCATAAAATGTATACCACAACAACTCGTGGCCGTGGATTCACTATTAATAATATAAATTAAAGCTTAAATAATTAGTATGTATCGCTATGAATCTCACGATCTTAGCGGCCAATCCATCGAAGTATTCTTTCATTAAATCCATTGATTGATACGATGTGTGGGAAGTGGCACCGTCTTGTTGAAACCAAATGTTGCCGAGATCACGAGCTTYAGWTTTTCRCATCAAATAGTCGTGACAMYGGTAGCGATGATTAMGTTCTCACCTAGAATCATCGGTCCATATTACTTCAAAAATTATTAACCACAYCAAACCGTACTTTTTTCSGGATCAAATGGCAGCTCTTAAATCTCTTCGGATTGGTCTTCATCCCAAATGCGGCAATTTCGCYTTTTTCAGGARCGCATAGAGCGAATCGATGTYACTTGGGAAGGTCGAGCGTGTATTCGGTCGAATATKCATAAATTAATGCTGGGTCTTCAGATAGATGGTATTGCGAATAGAACGCTCAGTAGACCGATTATGTAGGCCATAAATTGAGCGGAGAACATATTCTTTACAGATCGTAATCGTGAGCGATTTGTAAACGTTGTTCAGGCGGAAGTCTTTCCACGATGAAATGCCAAACAGTACCTAACCACAGGGCTCAAGGGTAGTTTGTCAAAACAGGCTATTGAAAAAAGTACCTTTACTTGAATCACCCGTTATTTGAAGGATTCTTCTCCTTGCAGTTAACCTCTTAACGTCTGCCCAAAGATTGTTAATTATATTAAGGTCAGGTGGCCTAGTCATAGATCACACAACTTTCCTCAACTTTAGTCGGAGATTAACCACTTTTCGTCTACTTTTTTGTCTTCTTTTTCGGGATTTTATTAAAATTTTCTTTTTGCATTTACAACTGTTTTGATAAAACGTCCAATTTCGCTTACATCAACAATTTTTAAATGAGATTTCGTTCTTCTTTAGAATAGTGTCTGCCACATACTCATTAAAAAAAACTGAACTAAAAACAAAAATATGTCTTAAAGCTTAAAGAGCGATAACTCAAATAACTTTGGATTCAATGACATTAATTAAAATTTCAATTTAAACRCCGAGTGCCAATAGTTGGATCTTTTTTCTGGTATAGAAATAATTAACATTTTTTAGTCTTATTTTTATTTAGAATCAATTAGTGAATACAAATGCATTAATATTATTCTAATGACGGCAAATAGTTTTTAACACAACCTTACAATGCAATACAATAGCGCGAATAATTTTCAAATAAAACTCATTCCACTCATTTTTTCCATAAGTCGCATAGATATGTTAAATTTTAAGCCGATTAGTGATCCACTGATATGTAGCTTTAATTGTGTTATTTGTTGAAGAAATAATAATTGTTGTGACACGCAATTGAATTTATACCAATAGTGTCTCTTTTTATGATTGATTACTTTTATTTTCTATTTGAACATTTTTGAATTTTTCATTACTTTATTTTACCATTCTTCACAAATAATTCAATGTTTAACTGTTGAATGTTAAAAAGATATTTTTAAAAATTTTGACATTTATTATTTCGTATTTTTTTTAATATTATTAGTTTTGTTTTTCTTTTAAAATGCACAATATATTTTCATTCCAGGTGCCGCTGCATTCTATAAAAAGTTATCAAATTGAACGCTTTGAAGAGAGCAATTTGGAGTCGGTGGTGTGCGCGCTGAATTTCATGGTGACCACAAGTCATTTCGTTAAAGGACAAATGAGGGTAATTTGCAACGCTGCWCAATAAATATTAATTTAATATTGTTTGAAGAAATATATAAATGAATTCATGATATTCGTGTTGATTTCGCTCGCCCCAACAGCTCAAGTGTACGGCCAGCATATTTGACATATTCAAAGAGGAAATCGAAAGTGTCATCGAAGAGGATCGACCGCGCATTATGGCCTCCGGACGTTCATACGACATGCACAATAATTATCCATACGAGCAGCATGGCAGCGGTGATGGCTTCGAGGATCATAACGAATCCTTTTTAACATATTCAGGTGAGTTGCAACGTATGTTGTGTTAATGTGAAATACAAGGTTTTAATATAATAACTGTATGGTTAACAACCGTGGATATATGCAGCAATTAAAAAAGGAATATTTATTATAGTTTGCGGGCATTTTGAAACGTTGWAGCAATTTAAAACACTTAATTGAGTTGAATAAGGGTATTGACTGCAACTGTTTGCTAAAGTGGATACTGCCAACACCTTAGTTTGCTTAACTTCAATATTAATTCGAAAGTTGCRGCTGCACCGACAGACGATATACTGCCTCAAGCTCTTSTATGGAAAAYTTTTTYGTTTGACAAGATATCTTCAAGAAATTTGACAACGATTATTATCTAAGAAAATGCTACAATCTTCGAAGAAATAGTACAGATCGGGCCGGTATAGCATATGGCTGCCATACAAAATGAACTATCAATATCAAGTGCTTGCATGGAAAACCTTTCTAGTTAAGAAGATATCTTTACCAAATTCGGCAAATATTATTATTTAGGGAAATGCTACAATCTCCGAAGAAATAGTATAAATCGGCCCGCTAAAACATATGGCTGCCATACAAACTGATTATCAAAATTTAGTCCTTCTATGGAAAAATTTTTTGTTTGACAATATATCTTCACGAAATTCGACAGAGACTATTGTCTAATAAAATTCTATAATCTCCGAAAAAAAGGCTCATATCGGGCTGCTAAACACGACAACTGTCATACAAATTGAACTATCAACAATATTCTTATATATAAAACTTTTTTATTTGACAAGTTATATTCACGATTTTGGCAAGAATTTCTCAAGACTTTGGCAAGTATTATTATTTATAGAAACGCTACAACCTCCGAAAAAATTGTTCAGATCGGCCAACTATAGCATATAGCTGCCATAGAATTGTAGCCTTCAAAATCAAACTAAAGACCTGTTAATACCCTTTTATGCTATAAGAAATGCACCTATGATACCCTTCACATATATATATTATACCATGTTGCAACCAAAGCAAACGTTTTATTTGCTTTTCTTAATTTTTCTGCTTTTAAATACTGGGCGAGTCGCTGAGTTGTGTATTTCCTAATCATCCGAGTCATCCGATGAGCGTCGTGTTTGCTGACACATGCATACATACATATGTACATATATGTGGATTGTGTACCATACGTGGCTGTTTATTTAATGCAAATTGCAATAAACTTCAAATTTCTCGCTTCGTTTAATGGGCAAATCGATCGGCTTTGCTTGCCACCCGTTCGAACACATATTTAATCGAAAGCAAATCAACTTGAACTGCAAACAACTTTTCAGCAATATTTAATGTTTATATTCATTACTGTATGTACACATGTGTGAGCGTGTGTCGGTGTGTCGATTCACCGCTGCACCACCTTCTTTTTCCAAAACGTTTAACACCATAGTTTTCAATGCTGCATTTCCTGCCGTCTTCTCTTCTCACTCATAGTATGTAATACACACATCCTCGAAAGCCTGCCTTCGTCGTGTTATACCAACACACATACGCACACACAAACATATATACGAAATGCAAACAAAATTTCTCAAACCTTAACTCTGTTCATAAAGCGCATCCACATATATGTATATAGACAAATACATACATATGTGTGTGTATATACATATATAGCCAGGAATGACGTTATCCGCCCAAAACTATGCAATACATTGAACGACTACGTTGTTGCTCAATATTTGTGAAAATATGATAAGGTAGCAGCAGCTGCTGGTGGCGCCAGTGCGAACGACGTAGCGGATGAAAGAGCACACATGCCCGCTAGGTGTAAATAAAAAAGAAATTTCACTAAAGTGTTGCCACTTACTTGAGGCAACATTGACATACACGAATTCATGCAAACACRCCTAAAAGGAAAATCGAAAAAAAAAACTCGCAAGAAAATACCAAACACATTGAAAACGCCGGAGTTTATTCATCTATGCAGTCGTTTGCTCGTGTGTGTGTGTGTATACATGTGTGCATGCATAGTTAAACTTAAATTGAGTTAAGGCGGCGCTGTCATTGAAGGCAAACGGCAGTTTGTTTTTACAAGTGCTCCTGCTCCATCGACTGCCTTGGCTTCAGCTGCTTATGATCAACATAATACGCTGTTAAGGCGCATTAAAATATGCATAGCTATTTATAGCACACACACACGTACACAGATGGTGGCATATGTGCCCTAGCAGCAAGTAAGCCAATCAGTCGCAAACAACGCTAACGACTCGATGTGCAGTCAATTTTGCCACAAAGCGAACGGGCGCATAAAAGTGCCATTGCCATATGAAAGGCGCTCGGCGCTCGGCGCTCCTTGCTGCCGCATACAACACCGTTACACACGTATACTGACAGCTGACGGCAGCTCGCTCCACGCCGGAGCGGTACTTACACTTCATAATGCATGCAAATGCAATGTTAACATATACCGAAGTGTCAACAAAGTGCAAATTCATCGCCACTCCCGACTCGCTCTGCACACGCTCACAGCCCACCGGCCGCCAAGAACTCCGTTAGCATTGCGTATTTTCACTTTTCATCAAATTCAGCTAATACAGCTTGTACTTATTCACATCAGCGATGTTTGATCCCACAAATCTCTCTAAAAATGCTCCAACTTGTAATAAGTAGATAAGAGAAAAAGCGCCTGTGGGGCACGTTATTATACATTTTTTATGACATCGGTACATTGCTTCAGGAAGTTCGTTTGTCCATTTGCTATCGTGGAAAMCCAATGTTGAGGAGAAGGTGAGAAAAGCTTTGGTAGCCTCATATTGTTGTCATTTGTGTGTGTTATTTGGACACGGTAGGGACTTTCACCTTACGAAATCGTAATTAAGCCAATACTGTTCTATGGTGTATTTGTCTGATGAAGSCCGTTCAGTAAAGCCGCACTGGCTTAACCGCTGAAAATAGTTCAACGAGTGGCTCTCATTGCGTACAGTGGTGACAACGTACAACACCAACGATTGCACTTAATGTCATTCTACATATCACACCCCTGGACATAGCCGGCTCATACATTGCTTCGAAGGTTGCTAGCAGACTCCGGGAAACTGGGAATATTAAGGATTCCAGAGAGGAATGTACCGAAATTCTCCTCTCTTCTTTCCTGATAATTTCGGCCACTTCGCCACCAAACCCACTTCTAGCGGCATGATGAGCTCGCTAAAAACGGCAGAGGTACTTGAGGCTAACGATTTTGGTGGACGCAACTTATCAAAGTTGGGAGGAAGATGAGGTAAATATATCTACTTTTTCCTCCTCTGTTCAGCTTTCGACAGCTTAATGTTGAGTATGATTCGTTGCCATACTTTCTATGAACCCTGTCTCTTATACACATCTAGATGTGTATAAGAGACAGGGTGTTTTTTATCCGTATTTAGGGGTTCTAGGCAGCACAATGTACAAGCGTCTCTAGTAGTTGAAGTGAGATTATTAGTGGTCCTACAAGGATTATCCTATTAGCCTAACCTAACCTAATCTAATGTATGCATTTTTGCATACTCCTTCATCCAAATAAATAATTTAAGAAGTAAATTTTTCGAATGTGAGTGCATTACCAAAACCATCAACATCAACACAGCGTCCCGCAAACTCAAATTATTTGGAAGTCTCTACCTGCAATCAGATCCAGAAAATATTATATGCCAAGGATGTACGAGTTTGTCATTCTTGACTTCGAAAATAGTGCWCTGAAGGCATCCTATTTGATTTATAGAATGCGGAGCGAGACACTCAATTCGCGCGCTCGGCATCACCACACCATGCAGCGATTTTGGTAGCATTTTGCTTTTCGAAAAAAGGACTCGATGGTTGTAAGTTATTTTCAATAAAACGCTGCAGAACTTGCCWTTTGATAAGAAAACATACAATAAATTACATTCTAGATTGCAATTGATTGACACTAATGCTCCATTTTTCTCGCTTCGCAAAAACTCTTTCAGTCAATTTCTCATTTTTGAATTCTGTGTCTGTTCTTCTCCCTTTCTAGCCGCCGACATCACGTCTTCAGCAACAACCGTACACGGCACGGCAGCGAGCATCTACGCGAAAGCACTAAAAATGCATTGGAAGCGGCTTTGGACCGGTCTGAAGGCGGCAGCGGCAGCAATTCAGGCAACCAGCAGCCTGCGAAGCGCACCGCCAGTGGAGCTGGAGCTGGCGCACCGATATGTCAAAAGGATAAGTGAAGCAAGCGATGATGATGAGAAGGAAAGTGCACCAGCGGCRGCAGTGAAGAACTTCGCGCGGTTTTCAGCTACCACCATCGACACCGAGTGTGTTGCTTATATTTTTATTGCCATTTGCACTAGCGTCTTTCTATGCGCACTGACACGCCATTTTATAAGCTGTCAAAGGAACCAAAGGAAATCCAGCGAAGTGAGTAGGGCAGTGACGACACCACGAACTACCGCCTCGATGGTAGCGGCACCAGTGGCAGATTTCACTGCCACGGTGTTGCCATCAAAGGTAGTAATATCGGCAACAACAACAACAATAGCAAGGCGTGTTGTAAATGATGGGGCAGCTTCAATCTTGGCAGTCAAACGGACATTGAAAGGACGAAAATCCTTTCATAATTGCGTTGGAAAAAATTTGAAATCATTGAGTGTACGATTGGCAGGATTGCCGCGGACGCTGTGCCCGATGTTTATGCAGTGGGCGAAAGTAGCGGCGAATCCATTACAAAAATTGGCAAATCAACAACAGCTTCAGCAGCAGCAACGGCAGCAGAAAAGCACGTCAATATTGCGCAACCAAGCGCGCACACAGCGCCACGCAACTCAACAGCTGTCGGTGACAGTTGCCGGTAGGAGCCCATCAACTCCATTACCAGCAACTGTGGCTGCATTGACATTTGACACGCCGGGTGTTAGCGCTGCCATGCACGCTGCAATTGCCAGCTGCAGCAATACCAGTCGCTGCAGCGGRGGCGACGGCGACGGCGACGACAATGGCGGCAGCAATCAAGCAATTGGCAATTTCACTAAGGACACGTCAAAGGATCAAACATTATTGATGATGATTGCACAACGTTTCGATTGTCAACATGTTGACGATTTGGTTGCACTCTCGCACAGCGCGCTCAGTAAGAGGCAGGAGCAGCAACAACAACAACAGCAACAACAGCAACAGCAACAGCCCCTGCTGTTGGGTGCCATAAAAGACGGCAAGGTGCTGTCGAAAGCCAAGGTGTTGCTGACTAATTGGCAAGAAAGCGGCGTGACACCTCGTCCTTGCTGCGGCCACTGCTGATGCCCGCCGACCCAAGGCAATCGAGTGCATCGCATAGCTTAAACAGAAATTATAATTACATACCATAAATAGCTTAATACCAATAAATATACCAAACATAAATTAATAATACTCCCGGAAGCGCCGTGTTATCTCCAAAGCAAAGGCGCCAATGCCAAAACAACAAAATACTTAGAAAATATGTTAAATTAGTTCAGAGCTGTCTAGCGTTAAGGAAATGTTGATGTTGCTTTTTAAATGCCAGAAGTAGTCGAAGAAGAAAGAGAAAGAGTAAGAGGAAATATGTATGTGTAAATAAGGGAGCTARTTGAGCGAAAGAAATGGCAAATTTGAAACAAGTTGTGAAAATGTGAACATATTGTAATGACTTAGAGTAATGCCATAAATAGCACTTCTTTTAGTAATAAGTAATAAATTTAGGAAGCGTATGAAATGTATGCCGAAAAGTTGCGAATTATCAGCAGAAGCAGATGAAATGCGARAAGCATAAAATTATGTTGCGCATAAAAATGAGCATGTAAAGCAGCCAGCCATTGCAATAACACAGTTTACTTTTTA